TGTTTCAACAAACTGGGTAGTTTGAAAATAAAATGGTTTCCTATCTAATCCTAATGTAATCCACACTCACCCAATGGAAACATATAATGGGTGTTGAAAAAGAGACAGCAAAAATGATTATCCTAAAAAAAAAAATGATTATAAAAGTTATACAGAACAGATTTTGAGGAATGAAGTAGCAAAAGAATTTTTATAGCACTTCATGGTACTTTTCAGAGCATTCTTAGCAGATTAGAGAGTCAGTATATTCCCCCCAACAATCTGGGTCCTCACTTTTAACCTCGGAAGGATGGAAGACTAGGTCAACTTTGAAGCTGTCAGGATCGAACTCCTGGCAGTGGGCAGAGTCAGCCTGCAATGCTGCATTCTAGCCACTGCACCACCAGGAAAATGCCCGTGCAACCCTCACTGCACAGAATAATATACGCCATGTCTCACGTAGCATTAGACGTACTTTGCGAAATATACAGGAAAGTTATTTCTTTGTAGAAGCTTTTCACATTCTCTCCCCTAACCTTTGAAAAGAACCACAAAACCCAAATGTATTTTGAGGCACAATTAGTAAGTCAGAGTTGGAATGAAAGATGAGATAGATGGAGAAGATATTCATCTCTTATAAATTAATTACTTCTACAAAGAAATAACTTTCCTCTATATTTCGCAAAGTACGCCTAATGCTAAGTCAGACATGGCGTACATTATTCTGTGCAGTGATGGTTGCACGGGCATTTCCCTGGTGGTGCAGTGGCTAGAATGCAGCATTGCAGGCTGACTCTGCCCACTGCCAGGAGTTCGATCCTGACTGCTTCAAAGTTGACCTAGTCTTCCATCCTTCTGAGGTTAAAAGTGAGGACCCAGATTGTTGGGGAGAATATACTGACTCTCTAATCTGCAAAGTATCATGAGGTGGTATAAAAATTATTTTGCTACTTCATTCCTCAAATTCTCTTCTGTATAACTTTTATAATCATTATTTTTTAGGATAATAATTCTTGCTGTATCTAGTTAAACACCCCTGATTTATTTTCATTCGGTGAGTCTAGATTACATTAGGATTAGATAGGAAACCATTTTATTTTCAAACTACCCAGTTTGTTCAAATAGCCTGGAGATTTCGTTCTTCTCACCTATCAAAATGTAAATCATCTTCTCTACGGCTACTTAGAACACCACACCTGTTCCTGTTGTAATTTCCTCTAACACACATACCTTTTACCTTAAACTGACTACCATGGACCTTACTCATTCATTAAGAGGTCCCTAAGAAGACATGCATAAACATTCCAGTGTGCCTACGGTCCCTGTCCTACTCTCCCCATTTATATGTACTCTTTATTTCTTTTTGGCTATGTTTTTATTACTTATATCCATTTATTAGTGTGATTTTTTCATGTGTTTTCGTACTTCTTTCCTTGTACTTGTTGGAAATTTAATTAATTAATCAATTAATTAAACAAAAAAAAATCAAATCTGAGGTTTCATATTGTATACGGAGATATACATTCCATTTCTTACTTTAAATATGCAAATTCGACTTTTTGATTTAATTTAGAAAGCTGGTCAGAGGAAAAAAAATAGTTTTTGCTTGGCATCCGATTCACTTCCTCTCTCTGTGTCTCTCGCACAGTAATAAACTGCGGAATCCTCCAGTTTGAGGCTGTTCATTTGCAGATACAGCTGGCTGCGAGAATCATCCCTGGAGATGGTGAAACATCCCTTGACTTTGTCTGGGTAGTAAGTGGAAGGAGATGATCCTGTATGTATGATGGCCACCCATTCCAGTCCTTTCCCAGGAGCCTGTCTCACCCAGTGCATCCAATCACCTCTGAAGGAGAATCCAGAGGCTTGACAGGAGAGACGGAGGGATTCTCCAGGTCTTCTCACATCCCCTCCAGACTCCACTAATTGGACCTCAGATCGAACTCCTAAAAACAAACGTGTTTCAATGAAATCTTCTATATACAAAAAGAGAATATGGATGGAAATTCTTTTTTTTTAATAGAATTTTTTTTTGTTACATAGACAACANGCTGTGTCTTCAGCTTTGAGGCTGTTCATTTGATGATGCAGTTGGCTTTTGGCATCGTCTCTGGAGATGGAGAAGCACCCCTTGACTTTGTCTGAGTAGTATATCCTACTGGAACCAGAGTTTGTGTCAGCCTCCCATTCAAGTCCTTTCCATGGAGCCTGTCTCAACCAGCCCATGCTATAGTTGCTGAAGGTGAATCCAAAGGCTTTGCAGGAGAGATGGAGGGAATCTCCAGGATTTCTCGCATCCCCTCCTGACTCCACCACTGGACTTGAGATTGGCCTCCTAAAAAGAAAAACATTTCAATGAAACCTTCTATATGCAAAAATGAAAATATGGAAGGAAATTCTTTAAAGAGTGGGGAAAAAAGCACCTGGAATGAACACTAACAAGGACACCAAATTCAGCCATGGGATCATTTTTGCTCCATTTATCGAATGGAAGGAATCGAAAGCAAAGAATTTAGGAACTGTACAAACTTTTTGTTGGTGGGTACAGCCTGAAAAGGGAAACCATGCAGCTTCTTTAAAGGAAAATTATGTTCTGATTTTCATATTGATTGGGATAAAAGAGCCCCTCAGTCCATTTGCTTTTTATTTTTCAGACAGAATTTACACATGTGATTTTCAAATCATTTTGCTGTTAATCAAGATAGTAGATTGACGGCTCCAAGTTTTATTTACTATCCAAAGGTTATTGGGGAGCAAGTCAGCCCAGCCCATCCGTTTCTTTGATGTGAAATTACGGCAGGAGTAATCAAGAGACTATATCAAGGCGGGAAGGCGGTTTAAAATATGGAAACTCAGAGGGATTCAGGTAGAGGAGGCTTCCAGTGACCAATATTTACATCCCTTGACTCAATACTACTGAGGGGAGAGAACTTCAGGATTGAGGAAGTTGAATACATATATTGATATAGAAAGAATTAAAGTGGTGGAACATGTCTAAAAAATAAAACATGGGGATTTGGTAATACTGAGAATTTAAGGGACTGAGAGTTTCCAAGATATCAGGGAAGATCTGTAGGACATCTATCCATATTTCTTATTACACAATCTGGAAACTCCCTTTTATCCCAACATCAAAGTGTTTACAAGGTTCCACACTACTTCTACAAAGATCAGATTTGAGGTTACACAAAATATCGTGGAGATTTATCTTCTGCTTCTAAGTTCAAATACACAACTTCCTTTGACTGAATCATTTTGGAGAGCTGCTGAGAGGAAGAGAAGGTTTTTGCTTGGCATCACATTCACTTCCTTTCACTGTGTCTCTCTTGCACAGTAATAAACTGCAGAATCCTCCAATTTGAGGCTGTTCATTTGCAGATACAGCTGGCTGCGAGAATCATCTCTGGAGATAATGAAACGGCCCTTGACTTTGTCTGGGTAGTAAATGGAAGGAGATGATCCTGTACATATGCGGGCCACCCATTCCAGACCTTTCCCTGGAGCCTGTCTCGCCCAGTTCATGCAGTAGCTGCTGAAGGTGAATCCAGAGGCTTGGCAGGAGAGACGCAGGGATTCTCCAGGTCTTCTCACATCCCCTCCAGACTCCACCAACTGGACTTGAGATTGGACTCCTAAAAACAAAAGTTTTTCAATGAAATCTTCTATATACAAAATGGGAAAAAATGAACTTAATTCTTTAAGGAGGAGAAAAACAACCTTGAAGGAGCACTAACAAGGACATCATCCAATTCAGCCACAGGATCATTTTTTTCTCCCTGCAACCAATGAAAGGAATGGATAGGAATGGATTGAGGAAAGTGCACAAACTTTGTGTGGGTGGGTGTAGCCTGAAANCTTCTTTGTGGCAACCCCTGAGATATTGGAACACTGCTATCATGTCTCCCCTGGTCCTTCTTTTCATTAAACGAGACATACTCAGTTCCTACAACTGTTCCTCATATGTTTTAGCCTCCAGTCCCCTAATACTCTTTGTTGCTCTTCTCTGCACTCTTTCTAGAGTCCCCATATCTTTTTATAGTGTGGTGACCAAAACTGGATGCAGAGTTCCCTAATTCTTTATAGAGTGGTACTATTACCTCATGTGATCTTGATTGTAGCCCTCTGTTAATGCAATTTAGGATTTCATTGGCTTTTTTGGCTGCTAACGAACACTGTTGGCTCATATTTAATGTTCAACTCAGCCATGGCTTCACTATGAGTAATAAATACTCTCGGTGAGTGTGTATCAGTGATTGCTTCCTATTGGTTTGGACTGGTTTGGCTGAAGCATTAATGGTTTGGCTGGAACTGGCAGTGACCCAGGCCTGCCAGGCCTCTGAACTGGTTCTCCAGGCAGCATCATAGGTGCCACCAGCCTGTTTTTTATTTCTTCTCATGTGCGAAAGAATTTTTATTGTACTTCACATCTGTGCGCAGCACACATCAAATGCATAAACAGCATGTCCATGAGTAAACCAGGAGTAGTGCCTGCAGGAACCCATCCCTGGTGTTTGTGTTTGTCTTTTTGTGTGTGTATGTGTGTGTGTTTGTGTGTTAAAATGTCCCTTTGTGTAGTTTTCATTTTCAGTAAAGGTCTGAGGCACCGTTATACTTTGTAGAAACTTCCTCTGGATACAAACACCAAAGATACTCATTTTATCAAAATTTATGGGCTTTACGGTGAAGATTATAACCTCCTGACATGTGAAATTTTCCTGAGAGATTTCAGTTAACTATTGTGGAAACTGTAATAAAAAAAACCATGTCTCAGAAATGAGAGAATATCTAATGACACTTGTTTTATTCTCTAGCCCATCCCCCACTGAGAATAGAGTCCATGGAGTTTCAATTGATAACACTGCCCCCCCCAGTGTCCAAAGTGAGGAAGGGAGGAATCTTCCTAATGTTTCCTCAATATCCATATGGCAGTTTAAATATTTAGAAAGATTATGCTATAGTTTCATTTCCTCTTTTCTACCATGATAGNAAAATGATGTTTCCACTCTTCATTTTTCTTCAAACAAACTCTCTCATTGGATTCCCAGAACAAAATAGTCCAAAATTCTCTCTGGAAGGTGTTGAATCCTAATTCACTAATCCATCGTTTTTGGCTAAAAGAAGTTGAAGGGCTGCTCTAAGGAAAAGAAGGTCCTTTCATCACCTCAGATTCACATCACCTCACTCTGTCTCTTGCCCATTAATAGACTGCTGTGTCTTCAGCTTTGAGGCTGTTCATTTGATGATGCAGTTGGCTTTTGGCATCGTCTCTGTAGATGGTGAAGCACCCTTTGACTTTGTCTGAGTAGGATATCCTACTGGAACCAGAGTTTATGTCAGCCTCCCATTCAAGTCCTTTCCATGGAGCCTGTCTCAGCCAGCCCATGTTATAGTTGCTGAATGTGAATCCAAAGGCTTGGCAGGAGAGATGGAGGGAATCTCCAGGACTTCTCACAGCCCTTCCTGACTCCATCAACTGGACTTGAGATTGGCCTCCTAAAAAGAAAAACATTTCAACGAAGCCTTCTATATGCAAAAATGATGATATGGAAGGAACTTCTTAAAAGAGGGGAAAAAATTACCTTTAGTGAATCTCTAATGAACAGAGGGAATCGATAGGAAAGACTTTGGGAAAGTGCACAAACTTTGGGTTGGTGGGTACAGCCTGAAAAGGGAAACCATGCAGCTTCTTTAAAGGGAAAATCATGTTCTCTTTTACATATTGATTGGGATAAAAGAGCCCCTCAGTGCATTTACTTAAGAGATTTTTCAGACAGAACTTACACATGTGGTTTTCAAATAATTTTCAAGATAGATGACGGACGGCTTCAAGTTTTTTTTAATCTCCAAAGGTTATTAGCGCGTAAGTCAGTTCAGCCCATCCATTTCTTTGTTATGAAATTGCAGCAGGAGCAGCAAAGTGACCAGAACAAGGCAGGAAGGCAGTTGGAAATATGGAGTCTCAGAGAGATTCTGGGAAAGAGGCTTGTGGTGACAAATGTTTGCCTCCCTTGGCTCAATCCTCACTGCTTCTACAAAGATCAGATCTGAGGTTCCATGACATATCATGGTGATTTAACTTCAGCTTCTAAGTTCAAATACACAACTTCCTTTGACTGAATCATTTGGAGAGCTGCTGAGAGGAACATAGCCCATCCATTTCTTTGATATGAAATTGCAGCAGGAGTAACCAAACGACCACATAAAGGCAGGAAGACATTCCAAAATACAAATTTTCAGAGGAAATATGGGAAAGGTGGCTTTTAGTGACTGATGTTTACCTCCCTTGGCTGATTACTAGTGAAGGGAGACAATTCAGGATTGAGGTGGTTGAATATATATATTGATATAGAAAGAATAAAAATGAAGAAATGTTTCTAAAAATAATAAAACACAGTGATTTAGCAATACTGAGAATTTAAGGGACTAAGAGTTGCAAAGATATTGAGGAAGATCTATGGGACATCAATCCATATTTCTCATTACATAATGTGGAGATTACCTTTTTTTCAACATGAAAGTGCTAACAAGGTTTCACACTGCTTCTACAAAGATCAGATCTAAGGTTCCATGACATATCATGGAGATTTATCTTCAGCTTCTAAGTTCAAATACACAACTTCCTTTGACTGAATCATTTGGAGAGCTGCTGAGAGGAAGGGAAGGTTTTTGCTGGGCATCCGATTCACTTCCTCTCACTGTGTATTTCGTACAGAAATAAACAGCAGAATCCTCTACTTTGAGGCTGTTCATTTGCAGATACAGCTGGCTGTGGGAATCATCCCTGGAGATGATGAAGCGTCCCTTCATTTTTTCTGAGTAGTAAATTGGAGATGAGGCTGTATGTATGAATGCCACCCATTCCAGGCCCTTCCGTGGAGCCTGTCTCACCCAGCTCATGGCATAGTCGCTGAAGGAGAATCCAGAGGCTTGGCAGGAGAGATGGAGGGACTCTCCAGGTCGTCTCACATCCCCTCCAGACTCCACCAACTGGACTTCAGACTGGACTCCTAAAAACAGAAGTGATTCAATGAAATATTCTATGTATATAAAAAGTAAAAAAAAATGAAATTTATTCTTTAAAGTGGGAAAAATACCTTGAAGTAGCACTAACAAGGAGAACAACTTCAGCCATGGGATCATTTTGGCTCCCTTTA